TCAGTCTTAGACATCTGGGCAACAAGGGTCCTGAAGGACACTGCTGGGCAGGAAAACAGCCAGGTTGGAGACAGGGAGCATGCGTTTTAAATCTGGTGAGCACAGAGGGCCTCACTGAGAAGAAGAGGGCTGAAGAGAAGAGTTATGGATTGAATTGTGTCCTCCCTCCCTCCATCAAAGATATGTTGAAGTCCTAACCCCTGTACCTGTAAACATGGCCCTGTTTGGATATAGGGTCTCTGCAGATGTTATCAGTTGGGCTAATCAGAGGTCATACTGGGGTAGGATGGATCCTAGTCCTATACGACTGATGTCCTTACAAGAGAAGATACATAGAGACAGGGACACTGAGGAAGGATGCCACATGACACTGCACTCCTTCAAGGATCAGTGAGAGGAACACAGAGAGGAGGGAGGCCAAAGGGAGATTCAAAATATGAGGCCGCCACCTGCTGTAGCTGGCTTTGGAGACAGAAGAAGGAGGCCACAAGCCAAGGAATGTGGACAATCTCTAAAGCTAGAAATTGCCCTCAGGTTTCAGCCAGCAAGGAAACGGGGACCCCAATACTATAACCACGAGGAAATGAATTCTGCCAACAATCTGAATAGGCAAGGCAACAAATTCTCTCCTGTTGTTGTTGTTGTTATATGACGTGGAGTTGGACCCAACTCATAGCGACCCCTCCTTGGGTTTCTGAGGCAGTATTGCTACAGAAGTAGTTTGCCCAACCTTCCTTCCGAGAACCTCCAAAAAGGAACACAGTCTACTGACACCTTGGTGTTAGCCCAGTGAGACCCATGTCAGACTCCTGACCTCCAGAACTGTAAGGAAGGAACTTGGGTTTCTTTAAGCTGCTAAATCTGTGGTCATGTTTTATGGCAGTGATAGAAAAACAGTACAGTAGATAAAGAGGTGGATGTGCAGAGAGAGGGACATCCAGAAGGCAAGGAGACCGGGCTAGTCAAAAGAAGGATGACCCGTGAGCCTAGTGGGGGGAAGGTAGGGAAATTCTCACCTAAGTGAGCTGCCCTGGGGTTGGGGTTGGGGATAGTGACAGGCCATGGCAACACATATACAATCCTTTCCCACAGCGAAGCTTAGGAGATCAGCCTGCAGAAAACCACCACCATGGAGCCCATGACTTTCCAGACACTCCCAGCACCCCTGCCCAGCAATGCTCTCCAGGCCCCTTGTTGGCAAGCATAGCCTGCTTAGGATGCCCTCAAGGCTTAGTATCCAGGACTTTGAGTTTGGCTAAGGAGCAAACCCAATGGAAGTCCGTCCCACTGAGTCCTTTGGCACATGGCTGGTAAGAATGGTCCTGGTGGAATAACTATACCCCAAGCCAGCCAAAGCCACTGCTAGTGTGAAACATGCTAGTCCTTCTTCCCTTGAGAAGTCTGGAGCTCCCACTTCTCCCCAGAGCAGGTCTGTACCTCTCTACACACACATACCTCAATTTTCTCTGTCTGTTCTGGCCACCCACTACCTCTCATCTGCCCAAGTACCCCTGGCAAAGAGAACCAACCTGCTGATGGTGGCTCCCGTCAAGCCTTATACTAACTGCTCTATTCATATGATCTCATTTAATCCTCCCTGCAGTCCTATAAGGTGGCTCAGAGAGGTTAAAATGCTTGCCTAATGCTACACAGCTGGTAAGTGGTAAATCTAGAATTGGAACCCAAGATTCTCTGAATCAAAGCCCTAACCCTCACTACTCAAGGTGTGGCCCATGGACCGGCAGCATTGGCGTCACCTGAGAATACATTACAGATGCTCACTCCAGACTTACTGAATCAGAAGCTTCATGTGAACAAGATTCCAAGTGATCCCACATGATTCACATGCCCATTGAAGGAAAAAAAGCACTGGTCTAAATTACTATTTTCTAAAGACTGCTGGTCCTAGGTTCTTATAACCTCTTCTGTCTGCCCCAACTCTCATGGCCCTTCTCTAGCTGCCTGGCTCTTGCTCTCCAAGTAGGGCGGGCTCTCTGCCCAGCCTTGGAGAAGATGCCTAGACCTGGGGCTCAGAGGGCATCCCAGGCCCCTGCAGCCAGCCCAGGCCACAGCTGGACAATGTCAATGCATGTCTGACTCTCTATAGGGCCTCAGACTGCTGCCTGGAACTCTCCTGGCCCCTCCCTTTCATCTCCCTTTTGGACACAAATCTCTTGGCCTCTGATCATCACCAGTGTGTCCTCTCTCCAGACACTCTGTTTCCCATCCCCCACCCTCCAATGCCCTCTGTGTCTTGTCACTCCCTCCCTCGGACACAAAGGGCCTTTCCAAGTTGCTATCAGGAGAGAGGCCAGGAATTGCTTGGGGAACCTGGCCAAACGCACAGGAAATGTCTGACACCGCCAGGCAAGTGGGACTTGGCCTCCCAAAGCAAAACACAGCTGGGCCGGCAGTGGGGCCCACTCAGACTTTCCCAGATTTCATGGCATTGAGGCACCAGGGCAGAGGGAGACTGGGCTGGCCTGGACACTGCAGTTCATTAAGAACATCACAGTAGCCCCTGGCCAGGGAGCCTGTGAAACTGAAGAAGAGGAACCTGCCATGGCCGGAGACCTCACCCCAGTCCTTCACCTTGGTACCACATGAAACCTTCCCTGGGAGATTGGAAGGCTCACCTCCATCTCCATCCATCCACCCTCCTTCCTTCACACCTTCCTTCTCTCCCCAGCACTCAAGTCTCATTTTTTCATTCATTCAATGTATGTTGACTGACCATTGACTATGTGCCAGGCACAGTGTTAGCACCAGGGATAAGTGAATGAACAAGAAGGACACAGTCCCTGCTCTCAGAGCTCCTGATGAAGTGGTGGAGACTGCCAGCAAATGAACACTAAGAACGTGCGGAGTGCCACGGGGACTGACAGGGCGCTGCACCGCCTTTCACACTCTGAGCATCATGTGGGATTCTGGGTGGGGTTGAAGGTTAACTTTGAGTTTAGACCAAGTATCAGATAGTTAATATGAATTCAGCATTTTCTATAAGATAAGCAGACACTATAGGATGAGCTGTGGGGAAATCCAAAGAGGACCAGACAGAGCACCTGCCTCCAAGGGCACCCACCACCCAGAGTCTAAGTGCAGGCACAGGACACAGACTCCCACAGGTGAGCACCAAGTGTATGTTGCAGAGCTCAGGTAATGGGGCTGACGGGATGAGAGAGGACTTTTTGGAGAAGGTGGAACTGTCTGATTCAAGGGTATAAGGAACAGAGTGACTTTGCAAGCAACTATCCCCAACACACGTACACATATACTCCATGGATCAATCCATCATAAAATGAAGGGAGTCTCAAGCCAAAAGAGAGCCTGTAAGGAAAAACCCAGCTGGAAGGACCCTGCTCCCACCCTGCCCCTGGCTGGCCTTCAGCTGGCCCCTCTGATACCCCTCCAAAGGCCTTCACTTGAGGCAGAGCCACTTCAGACCCACAGCTGGGACCCATTAGAACAAGGCTCAGGCCAGGGGCAGATTACCCAATAAGCAAGGTATCATGGGCTTACTTGTGCTTGTTTACTACTCTGTCATGAACAGTTTCACATTGGTGGTTAAAATATGTCAAACTGTTCACTACGGATTAGTATTTACCTTCCTTACTGGGTACTCCATCCCTGTAGGGATTGTAAATTTATAAAAGAGCTTTGATTCTGTACGAAGATGCTGTGGGGTTGGGAGAGAGACATGCCAGTCGTACCTAGAAGCAGAATCTTTGATGTACTGAAAACATGTGAAATTATTCACTACAAATTAGTAAGTAAGCACAAATAAGCCCATGCTTACCTTGCTTGTTGGGTAATCCAATGCTGGCTGAGGCCTTGCCCACCTGCTCACAACCAATCCTGGATCTGCTGCCCTGCCCCGTTTTGTCCACCAGTCCCCTTGGTTCTGTCCCTTGTTTCTACTATCAACATTCCTAGGCCTTGGCCAAAAGTTGACTCTTCTGTTGTTGAACTTGGAGCTCCCTTGGCCTTGACCTGAATCCATCCTTCAGCTTTTCTGCTTGTGGCTGCCCTCAGCAATCTGCTTGGGTGCTCAGGGCCCTGGGACCCCACCTTACAAACACCCTGGTCGGTCTGGCCTCACCCCCTTTCAGAGGAACTGGGAAACTTCATCTTCCCTTTTCTCGTTTTCCTTCAGCTCAGCCAATCTCTCTTCTGAGCTTACCCGCTAGGGATCAGACCTCAAGGTCAGCCTCCTCTCTTTGGTTCTCCTGACCTTTGATGACCTATCTTTTTTCCTCTTCGTTCAGTAAGACAAGGTTGCAATATTTCAGAAAGAACTTTCTAAGTAGGAAATGAATGGAAAAACCAAAAGGAAAACACAGCCCCTAGAAATGGACCAGTTTACAAAATTCAGATTTCCTGTCCTGAGTAGAAAAAGTCTAGCCAGACTGGCTGCCAAGAGGCCAGGGAGCCCAGCTCATAAACACTCCCCTTGCCCAATTTTTATTCTACCCTCTCTCCCTACACACTCCTTTGCTTCTATTCCAAGGAGAGAGGTGCAGTGGGTGAATTACAAGGTCTTTGCCTGGCAGAGACCACAGACAGAAAAAGGGAATTAACATCTATAAAGAGCTTACTATGTGCTAGACACTGTTCTAAGCATTTTCCTTGCTTTGATTAAATTAATCCTTACAACAATTCCATGATGTAGTGTATACCACCCCATCCCACCCCACCCCCACTGAGGAGGAACTTGAGGCATGATTTTGGAAACTTGCTCTAGGTCCTCCACCTAGGAAGGCACAAAGCCAAGATTCAAAACAAGAGACTCTGGCCCCAGACAGCCCCAGACACAGCCTTCTCCTAGGCACTCAGGGGTAAAGACTTCACCTCCCACCTCCCCTCTCCACTCAAGCTTGGCAATGCCTGTGCCAACCCCACTACCTGTTCTCCTGCTCATACCTCTGATAGGGACATGGGATGAGGGTGGAGGGGAGGGAAGGCAGTTTCAGCCCATGGGTCCCACCCAGGAGAGGACTTACCTGGCCAGTGGCAGCTGTGGTGTCAGTGGCCGTGTTCTGGCCACGGTGCCTTCTCTGGCCACACTGCTCCTGCGCAGGTTGTGGGAACCCTCAGCTGAGCGTTGGGGTGCCGGCCTGGAGTTCTGGGGGTCGAACTCCTCCTCGGGAATGACCTCCTCACAGCGGGTCCCGCGGAAGCCTGAGCGGCAGACGCAGAGCTGAGGCCGGCTGCAGGAGCCCCTGTTCTGGCACGGTGGCTGGCACACGGCTGAGGAGACAGAAAGAGGGGTGACAACAGGGACTGGGGGCCCAAGGGTGTGGGCTGCACTGACACCCTCCAGTCAGAAGAGCCCTTCTGCTCAAGGGACAGGATGGAGTGCTGTTTGGCCTCCCTACTCAGCAGGAAGCCAAACTTTTAGCCTCAGAGGGCTCCTTGGCCCATTTCTCTCTCTCCTCCACCCCCAGGCCACCAGGATAAGGCTTGCCTTCCATCTCTGGACAATCAACCCAAGACTAAATGACCAGAATTGTGATGTGGGCTCACGCCACACTGGAGGCAGACACCCTGAGGGGGACGTTCCCTTCCTGACATTGTATTATACACGTAAATGTTCATTTTTTGTTGTCAGTCTCCTACCACACTGGGTAGCATAGTGCCTAAGGCACTTGACTGCTAACCAGAAGGCTGGAGGTTCAAACCCACCAGCCACTCCTGGGAAGGAAGGTTGGGCAATCCTACTTCTGTAGTGATACTGCCTTGGAAACCCAAGGAGGGGTCGCTATGAGTCGGGGCCGACTCGACGGCATATAACAACAACAACAACAACAACACCACACTGGGAGCTCCATGCAGGCATCCCTCATATGGCCAATCTCCTTAGAAGGAAGACTGGTGAGTAGGAATACTGCCTTGGAAACCCAAGGAGGGGTCGCTATGAGTCCAATCAACTTAACGACAGTGAGTTTAGTTTGGTTTATAGCCCCAGGCATCTGACTGCTAACCAGATGTGGTTCAAACCCACCAGCCACTCCACGGAAGGAAGACTGGGCAATCTACTTCCGAAAAGATTTATCACCTTGGAAAACCAATGGAGGTCGCTATAAGTCAGAATTGACTCCATGGCAGTGGGTTTGGATTTTGTTTTTTTTTTTGGTATAGCCCCAGAACTTAGGAGAGAGACTGTTTACACAGTTGTCTCTCAATAAATATTGAATGAATGTAAGGTGGAGGGAAGGAATGAAGGAAATAAGGAAGGTAGCAGTTATTTTATGGGAAAAAGCTCAGCACTGATCTAAAAGTCAGGGGATTTATTTCTGTCACTTCATTAATTGTGTGATCTTGAGCAATCCACTTAAACTCATTGAGTCTGTTTCCTCATGAATCACATGAAGGTGGGCTGAGGGGCTGAGGGGCCTCTAAGAGTCTCTTAAAGGCATCTTCATCATGACAGTCTCTCTTCTTCTGACCCAGGCCAGAGAGAGCATCTGCTCCAATCTCCCAATCCCCTTCGCAAGAGGAGGAATCCCTGGCTGGGGTGTCCTGGGCCCAGGCTGGGGGAAGGTGGGACTGGAACTTGGCCCCTTCCTCCAAGCCACCACTCTTCAGTAGCCACCAGCCACTGAGACCATGACTTCTCTCCCCACTGTCCTTCTTCATCTTGCAAAGTCTGCAGCACATCCATTGACCAATGGCCAAGATAAAGGTACATGTTGGGGTGTGGAGCTGCTCCCTCTTCCTCTCCAAGACCTCACCTGGGAACACGTATGCCCCAAGGAGGGCATGGTCTGGATCCTACTGGACCCTGTAAACCCAAGTGTTTCTTCCATTTGGGCCTCATCCATTCAACAAATATTTGTGAAGCTCTGCTATGTGCTAGAGGTACCCTGGTGGTACAGTGGTTAAACTGCTCATTTGCAAACCAGAAGCTCAGCAAGTCAAACCTACCAGCCACTCAGCAGTAGAAAGATGTGGCAGTCAACTTCCATAAAGATTTACAGTCTTGGAAACCATATGGGGTAGTTCTACCCTGTCCCATAGGGTCACTATGAGTGGGAATTGACTGAATGGTAGTGGATTTGGTTTGTGGAAGTTTTTTCGTTTGTTTTTTACTACATGCTAGGCATCCTGCCCTACATGGAGTTTATAGTCAGTGGGGAAGACCAATTAGAAACAAGAAAACAAGAGCATTGATGCACTTCCAGGCAGTATCAAGGGCTGTGAAGACAATTAACAAATTGGTGCAGTGATCTGTGCTGGCTTCAGTTGAGTGGTCAGGGCAAGCCTCTGTGAAGGGTGAGATGGAAGGGTGAAAGGAGGCAGACAGAAGATGGAGTCTACCAGACAGGGTGATAAGTGAGTGCAAAGCTCTAGAGACTACAAAGAACTTGGTATGTCCAGGGAGGCTAGGGTCTGGTGACAGAGGGGGAGAGTAATGCAAGGTCAAGAGGGACACAGAGGTCACATTACTCAGGGAGTATGGATTTCATTCTAAGCACGGTTATGAAACTACCGGCCCCCACTACTCAGACCAGGTACCTGGAATTTCAAGAGCCGAACTCTCCTTTGTGAGATCAGACCTAGAACCCAAACCTAGGGATTGACCTGGATAAATGTCTCCGAAATTTCACTTCACTCACGTCACCCCCCTCTCAGAAACTTTAGCCACTCTTCAATGTTTTGTTTTCTTTTGCAACCGTCATCACTATTTCCAAAGTTTACATCACCCCAAACAGAAACTCTGCCCCACTAAGAAACAGCTCCCCATTCCTTACTCTCTTCAGCCCCTTGTAACCACTGGCCTGCTTTCTGTCCCTACGCATTTGCCTATTCTCAAAAAAAAAAAAAAAAAAAACTCACTGCCCTCGAGTCTGAGCTGACGCATAGTGACCCCTCCTTGGGTTTCCGAGGTGGTATCACTACAGAAGTAGATTGCTCAATGTTCCTACTGAGGAGTGGCTGCTGGGTTTGAACCTCTAGCCTTCTGGTTAGCAGTTAAGTGCCTTAGGCACTACACCACCAGAGTGCCCATGGGGGTCACTATGAGTCAGAATAACTTGACGGCAGTGGATTTTGGCTTTTTTTTTTTAGTAGAGTTCATATCATATTTTGTTTATCCATTTGTCTGTTGATGGACACATGTATTGTTTCCACCTTTTGGCTTTTGTGACCAGTGTTAGTTACAATGACAGAGCTCCTAACAATAGACAAGGGCTCCAATTTCTCCACCTTCTCAACAACTCTTATTATTTTTTTTCATTGCTTCATTGTTTGTGTGTGCAATATATATATATATATATATATATATAGGGGCTCTGGTAGTGTAGTGCCTAAGGCAATTGACTGCTAACCAGAAGGCTGGTGGTTCAAATCCACCAGCCACTCCTCGGAAGGAAGGTTGGGCAATCTACTTCCGTAGTGATACTGCCTCGGAAACCCAAGGAGGGGTTGCCGTGAGTTGGGTCCGACTCGGCGGCACATAACAACAACAACATGTATATATATATATATATATAGGGGCTCTGGTAGTGTAGTGCCTAAGGCAATTGACTGCTAACCAGAAGGCTGGTGGTTCAAATCCACCAACCACTCCTCGTCGGAAGGAAGGTTGGGCAATCTACTTCCGTAGTGATACTGCCTCGGAAACCCAAGGAGGGGTTGCCGTGAGTTGGGTCCGACTCGGCGGCACATAACAACAACAACAACAACAAATACATATATTTACAATAGCCATCCTACTAGATGTGAAGTGGCAAAAGTTTTTTGTGTATGTGTCTCAATCCCCCAACTAATACAGTCAACCCCTCAAAGTGCTATGATTATCGCTTACAATTTGTATCTTTAGCTCCTAGCATGATGCCTAATAATTTTATTATTGTTATTATAGCAGCATCTGTCTACTGAGTGCTTACAATATGCCAGGCACTGTATTTGTATACACTACCCCATTTAATCCTCCCGGCAATCCTATGCAGCAGATGCAATTATGATTCTCATTTTACAAATAATGTCTTTGGAGATTAGAGAGCTGAAGAGAGTTGCCTGAGGTCATCCTCAGCTAATCAAGGGTGGAGCTAGGATTTGAATCACAGCCCAGGCTCTCTTCACTGCGAGTCCCCAGGGTATGGGCAGAGCGAGGGTTGTTTCTTCCTCCCTGTCATCTCTGAGCCTTGGCCTGGAGCTGATGATACAACAAAAGGGGTTTGTTGACTGCAGGTCAGTCACCAGCACACTGTGTGACATGGAAGCCATGGTTCGTCCGGGGTTGGCAGGTTAGTGCTAGGTCATGCAAGCTGAGGTAAGGAGCAGGGAGAGCTGGAGAAGGTGAGGAGGAGGTGATGCTGGCCAGAAACCCAGAGAGTGAGTAGATTGGGGTCAAACCCACCAAGGGCACCTGAGGGCCAGCCTGCCTAATCAGGGGTGGGGAGTGGGGAGATCAGGGAATAGCAGGTCTCACACCAGGATCTCAGAGCAGCCCATTGGATCCCACGGCCAGAGCATCTTCCTCAGGGCTCCGCATCCCTTCCTGGCAGGTCTCAGGGCCTCCAGGTTAGCAAATCATGTCAAAGCCTTGTAAGCCAGAGCACTTCCCAAAACACAAACCGCAACGTCAGCAGGATTCTGGCCTATCGCTTGGCCAGCACTCCATCTGCCCAAGCTGACAGCTGCCAGTCCCTGTCACCACCCACAGGAAACACAGAGACCAAACTGCAGCCAGCATGCACAAGGGGACAAAGATGTGTCCAGCACAGGCCTTGGCCCTGGCTTTTTGGAGTGAGGGAGGAGAAAAGGAAAGTCTGAATGGTTTCTCCTGTGGTTGTGAGTGCTGTACCGCTCCTAGTCCCTGGGACCCAGACTTCCCTGTGGAGAGGGTGAGTGAGCAGAGCATGCAGCCTCTTATGGGCCGGTTTCCTCAACTGAGTGGGTGGCCTTTACCCTTAGGATAGCCTTTGGAGAGAGCCTTGCTTTAATTCTTCCCCTCCCAGGCTCTGGGAATGGCCCCTCCCTGACTTTAACAATAAGATCTTTCACTCTCTACAAACCCAAGGCAAATTGTTCAACCAGAAGGGTAGAGGTCAAGTCCATCCAGAGGTGCCCTGGGAGAAAAGTCTGCTGATCTTCTTCTGAACAGGCATCTACTGAAAACCCTAAGGAACACAGGTCTACTCAGATACACATGAGGTCACCATGAGTCAGAGTCAACTGTTATAGAGAAGCCCAAGACCCCAAATCAAGCTCCCTCAGGGGGTCCTATCTTGTCTGCTAATCCA